AATTGAGCTGCAATAAACATTAGGGTGCAGACCGCTTTTTTGTTTGCCAATTTAAATTCCTTTGGGTAAATTCCAAGGAGTGGGATGGCTGGGTCGAACGGTAGGGTTATCTTCAGTTTTCTGAGGGATCTCCAGACTGACTTCCATAGTGGCTTGACCAGTTTGCATTCCCACCAACAGTGGGTTAGTGTCCCTTTTTCCCCACATCCTCTCCAGCATCTGTTGTTGGTAGATTTCTGAATGTAAGCCATTCTAACCGGGGTGAGGTGGAACCTCATTGTGGTTTTGATTTGCATTTCCCTGATTGCTAATGACCTTGAACATTTTTTCATGTGCCTGTTGGCCATTTGGATTTCCTCTTTTGAAAAATGTCTATTGAGGTCCTTGGCCCATCTCTAATTGGTTGTGGTTTTGTTTTTGTGAGTTTCTGATCTCTTTGTAGATTCTGGTTATTAACCCTTTATCTGTTGCATAGTTTGCAAATATTTTTTCCCATTCTGTCGGTTGCCTCTTCACTCTCCTGACTGTTTCTTTTGCAGTACAGAAACTTCTCAATTTGATGCAATCCCAATAGTTGATTTTGGCTTTGACTGTCTGTGCCTCCCGGGTCTTTTCCAGAAATTCTTTGCCTGTGCCAATATCTTGAAGGGTTTCTCCAATGTTCTCTAATAACTTAATGGTGTCAGGACGTAGATTTAGGTCTTTAATCCACGTTGAGTGGATTTTTGTGTAAGGTGTAAGGTAGGGGTCTTGCTTCATGCTTCTGCACGTGGAAATCCAGTTTTCCCAGCACCATTTATTGAATAGACTGTCCTTGCTCCAGGAATTAGTTTTAGATCCTTGATCAAATATAAGTTGGCTGTAGATGTTTGGGTTGATTTCTGGTGTTTCAATTCTGTTCCATTGGTCTATCCATCTGTTTCTGTACCAGTACCATGCTGTTTTGATTACAACTGCCCTGTAGTATGTCCTGAAGTCTGGTATTGTGATGCCTCCAGCTTTGTTTTTGTTGTACAAGATTGCTTTAGCTATTCGAGGTCTCTTGTGCCTCCATATGAATTTCAGCATCATTTTTTCTAGATCTGCGAAGAATGTCTTTCGTATCTTGATTGGGATTGCATTGAATCTATAAATTGCTTTTGGGAGAATGGACATTTTGATGATATTGATTCTTCCAATCCATGAGCATGGTAGATTTTTCCATTTTTTGGTATCCTCTTCTATTTCTTTCTTTAAGGTTTTGTAGTTTTCATCGTAGAGATCTTTAACGTCCTTGGTTAAGTTTATTCCAAGGTATCTGATTGTTTTTGTAGCTATTGTGAATGGGATTGATCTTAGCAGCTCTTTCTCAGTCATGGCATTGCTTGTGTATACAAAGGCTGTTGATTTTTGTGCATTGATTTTATATCCTGCCACTTTGCCAAACTCCTCTATGAGTTCCAATAGTCTCTTAGTAGAGTTTTTTGGATCCTCTAAGTACAGAATCATATCGTCTGCAAAGAGGGATAGTTTGACTTCTTCCTTCTTGATTTGTATTCCTTTGATTTCTTTTTCTTCTCTGATGGCTCTGGCTAAAACTTCCAGAACTATGTTAAATAGCAGTGGTGAGAGTGGGCATCCCTGCCTGGTGCCAGATTTCAGTGGAAATGCTTCCAACTTTTCCCCATTCAATAGGATGCTGGCTGTGGGTTTTTTATAAATTGCTTTGATTATATTGAGGAATGTTCCTTCTATACCCAATTTGCTTAGAGTTTTCATCATGAAAGGGTGTTGAATTTTATCAAATGCTTTCTCTGCATCAATTGAGATAATCATATGGTTTTTCTTCTGCAGTCTGTTAATGTGGTGAATCACATTGATTTGCGAATGTTGAACCATCCCTGCATACCAGGGATGAATCCCACTTGGTCTGGGTGGATGATTTTCCTGATGTGTTGTTGTATTCTATTGGCCAGAATTTTATTGAGGATTTTTGCGTCTATGTTCATCAGGGATATTGGTCTGTAATTTTCTTTCAGTGCTGCATCTTTCTCTGGCTTAGGGATTAAGGTGATGCTGGCTTCATAGAAAGAATTTGGGAGGATTCCCTCTTTTTCGATTGTTCTGAATAGTTTGAGAAGAAATGGGATTAGTTCTTCTTTAAATGTCTGGTAGAATTCAGCAGTGAATCCATCTGGTCCTGGGCTTTTCTTTGTTGGGAGGGCCTTTATTACTGTTTCAATTTCTGTTTCAGTTATGGGTCTATTTAGGTTTTCGATGTCTTCAAGGTTCAATTTTGGTAGATTGCATGTGTCCAGGAATCTATCCATTTCTGATAGGTTTTCCTGTTTGCTGGCATACAGGTCCTTGTAGTAATTTCTGATGATTCTTTTTATTTCTGTGGTGTCTGTTGTTACGTTTCCTTTTTCATCTCTGATTTTATTGATTTGGGTCTTTTCTCTTCTTTTTTTAGTTAGTTGGGCCAATGGGGTGTCAATTTTGTTTATTTTTTCAAAAAACCAGCTTCTCGCTTGGCTGATTTTTTGTAATGTTTTTTTGGATTCAATCCTGTTGATTTCTTCTCTGGTTTTAATTATTTCTCTTCTCCTACTAGATTTGGGTTTGGTTTGCTGCAGTTTTTCTAGGTCCTTGAGGTGCGCTGAAAGCTCATTTATTTGGTACCTTTCCAATTTCTTGGTATAGGCACCTATTGCTATAAATTTGCCTCTCAATACTGCTTTTGCTGTATCCCATAAGTTTTGATATGTTGTGTTGTTGTCTTCATTTACTTCCAGAAAGTTTTTGATTTCTCTTTTGATTTCTTGAATGACCCAGTGTTCATTCAGGAGCATGTTGTTCAGTCTCCATGTGTTTGCATACTTTCTGGGGTTTCCTGAGTTGCTAATTTCCAACTTCATCCCGCTGTGGTCTGAGAAGCTGCATGGTATGATTCTAATTCTTTTAAATTTGCTGAGACTTGCTTTATGGCCTAGTATGTGGTCAATCCTAGAGAAGGTTCCATGCGCTGCTGAGAAAAATGTGAAGTCTGTAGATGTAGGGTTGAAAGTTCTGTAGATATCTGTTAGATCCATTTGGGCAATAGTGTCAATTAAATCTGCTGTTTCCTTGTTGATCTTCTGTCCGGATGATCTGTCTATTTCTGAGAGTGGAGTATTGAAGTCCCCCAGTACTATTGTATTGGAATCTAAATCTCCCTTTAAGTCCCTTAACATATCTTTTAAATAGACCGGTGCCCTGTAATTAGGTGCATATACATTTATAATAGTTACATCTTCCTGTTGAATTGAACCCTTAATCATTATATAGTGTCCCTCTTTGTCTCTCTTAACAGTTTTTGTATTAAAGTTTATTTTGTCTGATATTAATATGACTACACCTGCTTTTTTTTGGTTTCTGTTGGCATGGAATATCTTTTTCCAACCTTTCACTTTCAGTCTGCATGCCTCTTTGTTAGAGAGATGTGTTTCTTGTAGGCAACAAATAGTTGGGTTGTGTTCTGTGAGCCAGTCAGCTAAACGGTGTCTTTTAACTGAAGAATTCAGACCATTAATGTTCAATGTGACTATTGATACGTAGTGACTTTGCCCTGCCATTTTCCCGGAAATATTTTCTAGTATATGCTTTGAGCTTCCCATGCTCTTTTACTGGTAGGTGTTCTTCCTTTCCCTTCTTTCATATTGATGGCCGTGTTTCTGTGTTTCTGAGTGTAGCACATCTTTAAGTATCTTTTGCAGGGCCGGACGAGTGGCCACAAAGTCTTTCAATTTCTGTTTGCTATGAAAGGTCTTTATTTCACCTTCATTCACAAATGAGAGCTTGGCAGGATATAATATTCTGGGCTGGCAATTTTTCTCTCTTAGCACCTGTGCTATGTCTCGCCATTCCCTCCTAGCTTGTAGGGTTTCTGATGAGAAGTCAGCTGTGAGTCTGATTGGAGATCCTCTGAGAGTAATCTGACGTTTCTCTCTTGCACATTTTAGGATCTTTTCTTTATGTTTCACTGTGGTAAGTTTAATTACCACGTGTCGTGGTGAGGATCTCTTTTGGTCATGTTTATTGGGGGTTCTATGAGCTTCCTGTACTAGGATATCTCTGTCCTTCTCCAAACCTGGAAAGTTCTCTGCTAGTATCTCACTAAAAAGGCCTTCCAATCCTTTCTCTCTCTCCATGCCTTCAGGAACTCCTAGAACTCGAATGTTGGTTTTTTTAATAGTATCCTGTAGATTCCCAACAATATTTTTCAGGTTTCTAATTTCCTCTTCTTTTCTTTGGTTTGACTGTATGTTTTCCTGTGCTCTATCTTCTAAGTCCGATATTCTCTCTTCTGCTTCACCCATTCTGTTTTTAAGGCTTTCTAATGTGTTTGTCATTTGATCTATTGAGCTCTTCATTTCATTTTGATTTCTCTTCACTATAACACTTTCCTGTTCTACTAGTTTCTGAGTTTCATTTTGACTCTTCCTTAAAATTTCGTTTTCACGAGAGAGATTTTCAATCTTGTCCATTAAGGATTTCTGTAGTTCAAGGATTTGCTTTTGAAAACTTCTAAATGTTCTTATCATAAATTTTTTGAAATCCGTATCTTGCATTTCTTCTATCTCATCATCTTCATACTCTTGGCTTGGGGTGTTTTGCTTATTTGGAGGCATCATAGTGTCATCGTTGATCTTGCTCCCTCTATTTCTGTGTTTGTTACTCGGCATAGTTAATTCTTCTTGCGTCACTGTGCGTTTTTTTTTTTTTCTTTTTTTTTTTTTTTTATACTGTGTCCGTGTTAAGTGGACTGCCTGCTGTTGGAGGAGCCTTGGAGGCTTGAGATGGGTGCGGCCTGAGAGCTCTGCCTGGTTCTTTCAGGTTAAGGGTGTGCAAAGGTGACACCCCTCAGGTTATGCGTGGTAAATCTCTCTCTTTTTATTTATTTATTATTTTATTTATTCAGGGGTAAGTAACACCGCAGGCACGGCTGTGCAGATGATGGTATTAGCTACAGTCTTGCTCTTCTGGACTCCCACTGGGTTGCCTAGGCTACTGAATTGTAGTGACTCAGTTCCTTAGCTCTCCCCCATTGATATGTAAATCCAGAGAGCAGGCCTGCTCTTTGTCTCTTGGGAATTCTTCTAGCCTTGCTGCTTTGTAACCTTTGCAAGGTTAGGGGGAAGAGAAACCCCGAAGCTTTTTTTTTTTTTTTTCCTTCTTTCCGGTAGTGAGTTTGCTGCACTTTCTGGCCCCCCTCTAGATTCTGACCCCCGTTTCCCCACCAATGTCTCGGGTTATTGAGCTCACCTCCCCTTCCAGCGCCGATGTGGAGCCCTGAGTGTCCCAAGTCTCCCCGCTGTTGTCTGTGTGGCATGCACTCCCCTTGGAGCACTGGGGCTTCTGTGGCTGGGTCCCGCGACTTGGCTTCCGCGCGGTGGGCGACCTTGTTCTCCCAGTAGGTCCTCCGATTCACGATTCCCGTGCAATTTTTTCCCTGGTTCTTTTTTCTGCGGCTACCGTAACTCCCCTTTTATTAAACTAAATTTTCCCGGACTATCGGTGCGCGCCCTCACTATTCCGCCATCTTGGCTCCGCCCCCCTACAACATTTTCTTCATTCACTTATCCATTGTTTCATATTCAGGTTGATTCTATGCAGTGGCTATTATCATTAATATTATAAGGAATATATGTATCTCGGAATATCTCTGAGATCCTGGCTTTAATTCCTTTGTACATAGAAGTGGTGGTTCCATTTTTAATTCTTTGAGGAACTTACATACAATTTTCCAAAGTTATGGTCCCATTTTCACATTCCCATCAACAATGTACAAGGGCTCAAATTTCCCCACATGCTTGCCACCATTTTCCATCTTGTTTTTTTGTAAATAGCCATCCTAACCAGTAGTAGGTGATATAAAATTATAGTTACATTTCTACGATAATGTTGAATATATTTTTCAGTATGCCTGTTAACCATCTTACATCATATTTGAGGAAATCTGTTTAAGTCTTTTAACTTTTTCTGCTATTTTTCTTTTTGTCTATTGAATTGTAGGAATTTTTTTTTTTTTGGATACCAAAGCTTTACAAAATAAATGTATTTCATATATTTTGTAGGTTGCAATATTCTTTGTATTGATTGTTTCCATTGCTATGCAGATGTTTGGTGTTTTTTATGCAATTCCATTTGTGTATTTTTGCTTTTGTTGCCTGTGTATTTGAAGCCATATTTAAAAAACAATATTGACAAAAGCAAGGTCAAGAATATTTTTGCCCATGGTTTCACTTAGCAATTTTACAGTTTCAGAGCCTATGTTTAAATTTAAATCCATTTACAATTGTTTATTATGGGTAATGTAAGATATATCCAATACATTGTCCTGCCTTTGGGTAACCAGTTTCACTAACACCATTTTTTGAAAAAAACAATCCTTACCCAATTTGTATTCTTGACATTTTTTCTTAAAGATCAGTTGATTGAATGTGTGGATTTGTTTCTGAATTCTATATCCTGTTGTATTGGTCTATGTACCTGCTTTTATGATACTACCTTTCTGTTTTAAATAATATAGCTTCATAAAATATTTTGAGGTCTGGAAGTGTGATGCCCCCAGCTTTACTTTCTTTCTCAGATTTCTTTAGCTATCTGGATCCTTTTTGAGTTGACATGAATTTTAGAACCTTTACTCTTTTTCTGTAAAAATGTTATTGACATTTAGATGGAGACGGCATTGAATCTCTAGGTTACTTTTTGTAATATGGACATTTTAACAATAACGTCTTCCAATCCTTGAACATGTGATGTCTTTCCATTTATTTATGTCTCCGTTTATGTTTTAATTAATATATTGTTGTTTTCTGTATACAAGTCTGTAGGAATGTAGCTTCTGCCAAAGCACTCCAAGTGAGGACACACTCTTCCTGGACACAGGGTGTGGCTTTGGGAACTGATTAAGGTTAGCAAATGACTTACTAATAAGAAGAACATTGAGCCCTCATGGGAATGTTGGGACCTACAATGACATGCAGCTGCCTTCCCTGACATGCTTATCTAATATGTCTTGCTAAACATGTTGCAAAGAAATCTCAGAGTTATATGATTATGTGTACACACTGTACAAATAGCTGATGTAATCCTGGCGAGTAAAGAAATACGCTGGGTTTTGTCAGGTGGCACTCTTCAGAGGAAGAGTTCCTGTGTCCTGTCTCTCCTTTTGTTTGCTACACCCCAACACAAGTCCTCCCGTGGTTAACTTTAATCCAAAGTATTTCCAGAAACAGAGCTTCCACCCAACCATATATTTCCTTTTAATGAATGAAGAGGGTGTTTTCATCACTGATTACTGTATAATAGATGAAGAAGATTTGTGATATTACCTTTGTATTAAAGATAATATGAATTCTTTGCATACCAATAATATTTCCAGTCAAATATTTTGCATTTTCATTTCCTGTTTTAATATTATCTGGCATAATATTGAAAGATTCTATGAATAATGCCCACTCTATAATCATTTTAATAGAGAAGGCTTCTACATTTTAGAAATATTCATTAATACTCTGCATGCATATGAAATAGACTTAGTGTCTATAGCTATATCCCTTGCTTTCAGATTACAGTGAAGGATATGGTACTAATTATATAAAGAAAAACATTTCCTTTATGGTACAGAACATTGTCTTTTTTTCCCTAAGTTGCATTTCTTCACTTAAAACACAAACACATAAAATTGCTGTTATATAAAAATATCTTTGCAAATAACACAAGAGCTAGTATAGATATAGTAAGGAAAGCTTTTATTCTTTGAAATATAATCCCTGAAAAGAGGGATATCTAGAGTATGGTTATTTTATTTTCTAAGGAATGGCCTTGGTCTCTCCTTCCAAATGCCAGTTGAAGGACAGCAATATTTTATTTTCATTTGCTTTAATCTCAGCAGTAATTGGACAAATGAGGAAGTAAACAAATAGTTAAAATATTTCTTTTATCACAGATTTTCATGTGGCAATTAGAGGATAGCTATATTTAGTTTGTTACTGAGAGTCCATACTGATAACTGTATATTTTAACATTTTAAAAAACCACTTGAAGATTTACATGTAAATAAGAAATTAAGCAAAATATTTAATATCTTATTGTTGCTGTGAACAACTGTAGATTTATTGGGAGTGGTATTGTTTTTGTGTGAAGTAATTAACAGTCATTAGATACCTGTAATAGCTAGTGCTCTTTATTTACTTTTAAAATGTGATAAATATGTATATAATAAATTATTCCTTACCTTCAGGAGTATACACAACTAACAAGCTTACACTGCCTTTATCAGCAACCCCATGCCACCTATAAGGAATTCCTCTAAGTAAGCAAAGTAATATGTTTCAAATCCCATATTTCTTCTTACTCTATGGATAATAACCAACTCTATGAGGAAGATGAATTAACTGGTTTCTAAAAAAAGCACTATCTACCATAAAACCATTCTACTCATTTGTTACTATTACTTCCTAGTTAACAATGATTTTTAGCCACATATTTTTATTTATAATGTAGGGTCCTACATACTAACAGTTGTGTTGCTTGTCAAATTATTTAACCTAACTTCTGCTTCCTAATAAATAAAACAAGAAGAGCATATACACTGTGTAGTGTGTTTTCAATATTATCTGACATAAATGAGGATCAAATGAGACAAAGTATAGGAAATATTTAACATAATGTCTGGCATGTGATAAGTATCCATAGAATGGCTGTGAATGCTGTTATTTTTCTTCCTCTCTGGGGAAGTGTATAATTACACATATAGTCTAAGACTGGGAACGTTGATGTCAAGCAATTTCTTTATCTTTCAATTTCTCTTACCACATGGTTTCTTCAATTCTTGCTCAATTGCCTTAAGAAATTATCTGTCCCCAATTATTTATCCCCATGTTTTTCTTTCTCTTACTCTAGTTTTAACAGTTAAAAACAATAGGATTTCATTCTTTTTTAATTTGTATGGCTGAGTAATGCACCATTGTGTATATATGCCACATTTTTTTTAAACCAGTCATCAGTTGATGGACATCTGGGTGGATTCCACATCTTAATTATTATAGATTGAGCTGCAATAAACATGGGGGTACTAATAACTCTTTCATATGTTGATTTCATTCTGTCTTTTGCAGCAAAATGGATGTGACAGGAGACCATTGTGTTTAGTGAAATAAGCCAGTCCCAAAGACAAATATCATGTTTTCTCTGATATGTGGCAGTTAATATAGCATGCAAAAGGAAAACAATGTATAAAATGAAACTGACATCTATGATTTGATTATCATTTATGACCGTTTTCTGTATTCCTGGGGAACAGTGGTCTCTCTACTTTTCACTTGCTGAACATTTTTTAGTCGTGTATGTTTTTAAGCCTATGATTATAAAATAAATTTAGTATGTGCTATTGCAAAATTTAAAGGACAAAAGAAAAAAGGAATGAGGGGGGAATTACAGGAGAGAGGGGAGTAAGGTTACTGTCGCTCCCCTTCTTCGTGGAGGAACGACACAGGACCCTGCGCTGTTCTTTTGTCTGCTCTGCCCTCCCCGGGTTTGCTGCTGGTTCTTCCCGGGTTGGCTACCGTCCCTTCCACCTCCGTGGAAGGGCGGTTCCCCCTGCCACTTTCCCCACTTCCGCGGGGGAGCGGCACACCGCCGGCCGACTCTCTCGGGGGCTGCACAGGTGTTCCTTCAGATAGATGTTCCTGGTGCATGTTGTCTCTCTCCTCCTTTATAGTCCTCTTCCACCAATCCCAACTCTGCTACCCACAAGCTGAGTATGCTGCTCTCCTCCAATCAGGAGCAGGTCCTGCTGTTTATTGGTTGAACTGGAGGCAGCTGTGTAGAAGCTGTTTCCTCCTCTCCCAGCGCCATTATTGTGGGAGAGCAGATGCATAGAATAAGTCTTAATTCCAGTAACTTAGTCTAGTCCGAGTTGCTCCCCACAGGTTACCTTCTTAGAATTGTATCTAGGAAATACATGAAATTTTTTCTTTATATTAATAAAATTTTTAAAACAACAGAAATTATTGCTACTAAATACTATTAGCATAAACATATTTTTGGGACATATATTCATGTACTTTTAAAATTTAGTAGACATGTAAAAATGTGCATATTTATGGGTTATTATGTGATGTTTTGTTATGTGTATACATTGCCTAATATCCAATCAGGGTGAATACATTTATCCTTTCATGTACTTAAAATTTATTTATTTTGAAAGCATCCAGAATCCTATCTTATAGGTGTTCCAAAACAGAGAAATATATAGTACATTATCTATTATTAACTTGTGAGCAATAGAACTCTAGATCTTCTTACATCTCTATAGCTACAAAATAATATCTGTCAATCAAATTGTCCCCATTCCTCCTTCATCTCTTCCTCTCCCAGCATCGGGGAATAACCAGATAGCTGCAACAGCCAAGAGTGCGCCAGGCCAAAGTTAGGAGCCTGGAACTCCAACTGCATCTCCTGTGTGGGTGCAGGGGCCCAGGAACATGGATAATCTTTCCGTTTTCCCAGACACATTATCAGGGAGCTGGATTGGAAATGGAACAGCCCAGGACTCGAATCAATATCTTTATGCAATGCCAGCATAAGGAATCTTTTTTGTTAATCTTTTCCATGATTAACAATTTTTCCAAGAGCTTTGTCTTTACTCTGTTTCCATACCATCTGCATCAGTTTTCAGGGCTTGCCCATGTGTGGTCACAGGATGACTGCCAACAACAACTAGACTTATCAGCTTCTTATATAGCCAAAGGGGGAAATGACCAACATCAGTTATAAAGATATGGTGATGTTGATTGGGATCTAATATTGTTCAACCAGGACCTCCGAACTCTGCTGAGCACTGTCAACATGATAGAAGCAGCCCTTGAGCTGTTCAGGCAGGTTCTAAGTAGGTCACACAGTCACAATGCTCTCTTCAATCTTATAAGAGGCTGAGGGTAATACATACCAAAACAAGTATGCTCACCAGAACTCAGGTTTCGGCCTGCTATTTGAGCAACTCCAGAGATTCTGTTCATAGGCACTCACCTCAGGATGGAAAGCATTAGTATCTGACCAGTGAGGGGCTTTCATGGCCCATCACTGAATCCAAAGACATAGTTGTGTGGTCCCTTGCGAACTGCCCAAGGTTGGAGGAGAGTGATAAAGCAGCCCTATGACCAGTCTCAGGCTGGTCACACAGTCTGATGAGATCAAAAATTCTGACCTGTGAATCACACTTTGAGAACTGAGGCCCACAACCAGTGGTTTTCAACAAACGATCTTCCAATTAGCAGGAGCAACATCACATGGACAACTGTTAGTGGCAAAATGTTTTACCGTGTCCATGATCCCAGAAACTGGAGATAGGGCCCAGCAACTTGTATTTTTAAAAATGTCCAAGTAATTGTGGATCCATTAAGTCTGAGAACCATTGACTTCAATCATGTACTAAAAGATCTGGATTTAATCTTATAAAAAACAACCTACATCACATGCATATACCTTAATCAATCCCTGTGGCCAAATGATTTTCATACACTGAGTAGTTTTAGCTTGATATACTCACTCATCAATCCTGCAAATCAGTCTCTAGGACAACAAAGGAGAGATGATTCTAATTAGTCTTTGCAAAATTGGACTATCCTTGTAGCTGGATATAAAATTTATTCTACCCAAACTCAAGGTGGCTGCACAATGGGAAAAGGAAGGAATGGTATCTGGGGAGGAAACTGACAATTTCCACTATGAATCCAATGAAAATAAACTGGGTAGCAAGGAAATTGATTAAGACTCAACTAATTCAACAAGTGTTTATTAAAAGGTTATTTGCCCCATTTATGAAGTACTAAATAATGCTTTGAGAGGCATAAATGGCAAGCTGTAGTTTGAATAAGAAAATGTGAACCAAATTGTACATCTCCTCCCTCTCTTATTCCCGCTCTTATATTTAACATGGATCACTTTTCAGTTAAATTTAAACATCTAAGAATAATTGTGTGTTAATTACAGAGTTCAACCAATAGTATTAAGAACAAAAAAATACTAAAAGGGATAAAGTATTAAGTTGTTTCTCGACAGTCAGGACAAGGGTTGATCAAGTCACCGTTTCTCATAGTGTCCATTTCACTTTGACAGGTTTCCTTTTTGGTGCTCAGTTAGTTGTCACCGATCAGGGAGAACATATGATACTTGTTCCTTTGGGACTGGCTTATTTCACTCAGCATGATGTTTTCCAGATTCCTCCATTTTGTTGCAAATGACCGGATTTCATTGTTTTTGACTGCTGTATAGTATTCTATAGAGTACATGTCCCATAATTTCTTTATCCAGTCTACTATTGATGGGCATTTTGGTTGGACATGCTCAATCTGACTTGCCCCAAAGGGTAGAGTTAGAAACGCGCCAGGGGATTCCAATTCAATCCCATCAAGGTGGCATGTACCAATGCCATCTCACTAGTCTGATCAGTTTCAGTTCATAATTGATCACAATGATAGGATTAAGAGTCAAACGGATCACATAAACAAGGCTAGTGTCTGCTAATACTAACTGATAGAATTAAAAAGGAGAGAATGATCCAACATGGGAAGTGGGATACACAGCAGACCCATAGAACGACAGATGTCCTAAACAGCACTCTGGGCTCACTCTGGCTGAAGAGCCCATGAGAGTATTTTCGGCATGGAAAGCCAAGACACTCTGGCAAAAACAAACAAACAAACAAACAAACCACCTAAATGAAAGATCTCTGCAAGTGAGATCCCAGTTGAAAGGACGGGCCATCCCTTTCTCTGAAGGGAGGAGAGAACTTCCACTTTGACTATGACCTTGTTGGAATAAGATCAGAATCAGCAAACTCAAAAGGCTTCCATAGCCTTGGCAACTCATGACAAGAGCCTAGGGTGATTACTGACTCCATAAACAAGAGTCAAATTGTTAAGTCAACAACAGGAGTCACTGTGCACTTACTCCTCATGTAGGATCTCTGTCCTTAATGTGTTGTTCAATGTGAATTAATGCTATAACTAGCACTCAAACAGTATTTTACACTTTATGTTCTGTGTGGGTGCAAACTGTTGAAATATTTACTTAGTATATACTAAATTGATCTTCTGTACATAAAGATAATTGAAAATGAATCTTGATGTGAATGGAATGGGAGAGGGAGCGGGAGAGGGGAGGGTTGTGGGTGGGAGGGAAGTTATGGGGGGGAAAAAGCCATTATAATCCATAAACTGTACTTTGGAAATTTATATTTACTAAATAAAAGTTTAAAAAAGTTAAAAAAAAGAAACACCAATTTCCTATCTATTTAAGTATCAAGTGATGCAAACAATAACAACTCAGAATATTATATCTGACCTTTAGAAAGTGATCCTGAGCTGGAAATTGATGTACTCATAGCAAGTAGATACTAAGAAGAAGAGACAGACTTAGCAAGCTGAGTGACTTCACTGTACAGATTGAAGTATACGCAGAAGAAAAAGGGAAAACCAACTATCCTTGCTAAAACAGATTGCTTGGGAAACTAAAATGACTTAGATATACTAGGGCTAAAATATGGAGATCTATGAATGATAGATTTTGAAATCTGGATTTTATTCCATGAACAAACATTTAAAAAGTGTTATTTGAGGGCCAGTATTGTGGCATAACTTAAGGCAAAGCCACTACCTATGATGTGGCATCCAGTATGGGTACCGGTTCATGTACCTGTTGCTCCACCTCTGATCCAACTCCCTGCTAATGTGTCTGAGAAAAGCAGAACTTGGGTTCCTGCACCCATGTGAGACAACTAGATTAAGCTCTGGTTCCTGGCTTCAGCTGGGCCCAGCCCTGGTGGTTGTGGTCATCCGGGGAGTGAACCAGCAGATGGAAGATGTCTCGGTCTCTGTGTCTGCCTCTCACTCTCCATAACTCTGCCTTTCAAATAAATAAATAAATAAATAAATAAATAAATGTCAAAAAATATATATGCTTGTGATAGGGCAGATTGGGAACAAAAATATGAATTTGATCTATCTCATGTATATTGACAAAAGGACAGCCAATTGAAATACAAGATAGTAGAATGTAGAGATCGCATACGTGGGCCTTATTGTCAGAGAACATAAGATCAGATTCTGCCTCTGTCCCATGACACCTAGGTGGCTCTGGTCAATCTCTATTAGCCTCAGTTTTCTTTTTAATAAGTGGAAATAGTGATAGTAGTTTGTAACTAAATTTGTTCTTTTGAGATTTAAATGAATGTAAAGTACTTGGAAATATTCCTTGTACAAAACACAGATATATTTTCAAGAACTTTAAATTCATTATTGTCATACTTTTTATAATTGATGAATGTTTAGATGAAAGTTTCAGATTTAATCATATAATTCATTATCTATAAATATGAGAGGAAGGCTCATCTAATTAATGAAGACTCTAGAGGGGAAGTTTAAACACAGAACAGACCAAAGATTATAATAGAAAGTAGGTACCTTAAATAGTAAATATAAAATGAAACCAGAAATAATATTATTGTCACTGATTCTAATTTTAATCAAAAAAGAATACCAACATGTAGAATACAACCATGATCAGCCCTGTAGGAAAGGCTAATATTTACTGATTACTTATTATATGCCAAACACTGAGAACTTTACCTGTGTTCTATCATTTATCTGAGCTAATAATCCAGTTTGTTATTATCTCCATTTTATAAATGGACTCACTGAAATAGATATTTTTATGTTTCACAGAGTCACACAGATTGTTGGTGACAGAGGTCAAACCCAGATGCTTAAACAATAGACTCACCAGTAATCCAAATTGGATGGATGGATGGATGGATGGATGGATAGATAGATAGATAGATAGATAGATAGATAGATGGATAGATGGATAGATGAATATGGAAAAGCTCTGGCCAAGACCCTTTCATGCCCCATCAAAATAAAACATGTTGGTTTAACTCCATGTGTTAGATATCTTAATACTTTAAACTCATTTCAGTCATAAATAGAAGGTAGTTTAAAATTCATATATTATTTAACAAATTTTGATTCATTCCATTTTCTTCTTCAAATAAGCCACAGCTTAGTAAACATTTGTTATGGAGAGAAAAAGTTTTAATTGACATTAAAAAAAATCAGAGACCCTAAAGGCACAAGTGAAATATAATTCTTCAAATAATAGCATATAAATGAAGACTCTAGAGAGTTTTGTAATAATATTTTGTCTGTGTATAATGCCTTTTCTTGTAATATCTCAGTGGACTTTGTTATGAATCATAATTATAATCAAACTTCAGAACATCTCTCTGAGTATTTTTAATTTTTTTGCCATTAGAGATAGTGGGAGGAATATTAATTTTTCAAGGTCATTCACAGAGTCAGGCAGATGGAAGAATGGAATAAAAGGCTTCCAACTCAAGTTCTTTGATAAATATAACCATGGATTTACAAAGGTTTTGGCAAAGAACATTATAGTGTCAGAAGAATGTATAATTGAAGAAAGAAATATACTGCTGGGATGTCAAAGAAAGCAACTCCAAAAGTTTTAATTGGTGATACTTAAGAAATTCCTGACTCTGTACTCTCCACATCATGCAAGTTGCTCCATAACTCGAAATAAGAGAAAAAGATAAATTCTAATTTGTACTTCATCTAAATATTAGTTTTCTAACTAAAATTCCACTGATAGCAAGAAAAGTTCTATTTCCGTAATCATGAGAAAAGCAATATAGCTATTTTATTATTTTTTAAAAATATTTTAATATTCTATTTACTGAAAAAGGCAAAGTTACAGAGAGAGGGGAAGAGATGGGGGAGACATCTTCCATCCACTGGATCACTCCCAAGGTGATCCCAACAGCCATTGGGCCAGACCAAACCCAGGAGCCAAGAGCTTCTTCCAGGTCTCCCACATAGATGCAGGGACCCAAGCACTTGCATCAACTTCCAGTGTCTTTCCCGGCCACTAGCAGGGAGTTGGATCAGAAACAGAACAGCTAGGGCTCAAATCAGTGCCCACATGGGACATCAGCATTGCAGGCAATGTCTTAACCTACAACGCCACAACACCAGCCCCCATTCCACCCTTGTATAGAATTCTGGAAGTAAATATAAGGGTACTTCAAAAAGTACAGGGAAAAAGATAATCAAGAATTTTTTTATGCAAAAAATTTTAATGCATGTGGACTTTTTAAATAATATGTATTTCTATGAGCTTTTTGAAGAACTCTGGTTTGCCTGAGTTTTAAAATTTTTGGCACCAAAATAAACTTATCTCTTAATTTTAGTTTTATATGAACTGTGTGAAAGATTCTTGTAGATAACAAATATTTTTCCCATTGAAGTGGTATGAACACTGCAGTTGAAAACAAAACAACAAAAACATTAATAGAAGATATAAAATAACAAATTTTGGGCCGGTGCCGTGGCTCACTAGGCTAATCCTCCGCCTTGCGGCGCCGGCACACCAGGTTCTAGTCCCGGTCGGGGGGCTGGATTCTGTCCCAGTTGCCCCTCTTCCAGGCCAGCTCTCTGCTGTGGCCTGGGAGTGCAGTGGAGGATGGCCGAAGTACTTGGGCCCTGCACCCCATGGGAGACCAGGAAAAGCACCTGGCTCCTGGCTCCTGCCATCGGATCAGTGCGGTGCGCCGGCCGCGGCGGCCATTGGAGGGTGAACCAATGGCAAAAGGAAGACCTTTCTCTCTGTCTCTCTCTCACTGCCCACTCTGCCTGTCAAAAAAAAAAATAAATAACAAATTTTAATTGTTGAAAGCAAAAGAATTTTATAGAACACTCACATCAATATCTAAAAATTAATTTAATTGGGTTGACAATTTAAGTAAAACAAAGCCATGGCTTTGTTGCTGCCAAGCAACAGATACTGCCTACAAAGTTAGGATACTTTTTTCTAAATTCAGTCAAAACTAATAGCCTCCAATTAGAAGGTCTGAGGTGAAAAATTACTAAGAACAAAATGGAATAAAACCAGTTCCTTGGCTTTACCCATTATATTTTTTACATTCATATATCTAGAAAAAAAAGTTCTTCTACTCAAATATCACCAAATTAAAGAATGAAAACATAATTTTATCTCATGTATGCATCTCAAAAAAGATCAAAATCTAGTGCATTTATAAATTAACATAAAAATTCAGAACAAAATTTTGAGTAGTCATACATTTCATATATATATTAGTTAAATTTAGAAAATTATCGAATATTTCAAAAATGTTATTACCTAAACACTGGTCGTATAATGGAGTTTAGAAATACCTTTTCTTAAATTTTCTCAATAGGTAAGATTTGCCTAATTTCTCAGAAGTATCTGGGGCAGAGTCAGGATGAACACCAAGGTCATGACTTTTTCCACCATAAATAGTAAATGATTTCTTTCTCTTTCTGTATAGATGCTTCTAAGAAACATAGGTACCGTCCAGTCACTAGCTAGATGTTTTCTTTCTCCCAAAATGATAACCCAAATTTCTGCTGCTACCACATTTTAACTGATGAAATGAGTGTCAGATAATAACATATGTCCGTAGCATGGGAAGCAATTCCTGAGACTAAATGTGATTGCTACAACAGTACAATGTCCAAAAAAGTCACAAAGGAATAATTCACAAGAATTCTCTGAATAAAGCTATTTTCAGCATGAAAATGTTCAGCCCTGATTTGCAATCAGTTCAATTTCTCCTGACGCTCTTTAAAGGACAAAAAAATCAAACCATTTTGTAATTCTCTGCAAAGCTCATTTGCACCCACACAGTGTGGCTTGTCCTTAATCACTTCATTAACAAAATGCTAGTCATCGACATTCAAAATCGTGCAGTTGTGCCAATTAGAAAACATGTTTTAGTCCATTAGTAAATAGAGGAATCCTGGTTAATACTTACTGAGCAATGTCTACGTGACAGGGACCACGCTGAGGTTTTACACGCAATTGGGAGAATATAATATAATGGCTAAAAACACTGAACATAGTTAGTCTGGCTGATTTTTAGTAACCTTGCTTTTATACCAAAAACAGTCCATGTCCAAATAAATCCTAAATTTAGCTGAGAAACGTCTTTAGATCCTAAGATATACTTGCTGTGCTTTTTAATTTTTCTTACTCTGTGCTTCATGATAAGTTCTTAAAGTTAATTAAAAACAGCATTAAAGTTTGATCAGTGAGGTAGACAGAATTCTAAGAAGGCCAGCCTGATTAAGATTCCAACCTTCAAGCATACATGCCCTGTGCCTGCCAGCACCCCTGGGTGTGGGAGAGGTCTGTGATGACAGCATCAAAAGCTAACATACCACCCTTCTGATTAGGTAATGTTTTCTTACAACAGTGAAGGGATTTTGCACGAGTCATCATGACTCCCTAATCATTTGAGTTCAAATTCATCCAAAGGGAGATTATCCTGAGTGGGTGTAACTTAATCAAGTCAGATTACTAGCAGTGGAGATAGTCCAGAAGTCAGAGTGATTCAAGGCAGCAGAGATGTGCTTCTCCTGGCCTCAAAGAAGCCAGCCACCACCTGAGCAGTCCACGTGGCAATGATGGCTTCTGAGGAGTGGGAGTGGGAGTGGTTTCCACCCAACAACCAGCCAAACAGCAAGAAATGCAACCACTAAAACTATGAGAGGATTTTGAGTCTCAGATGAGGTGTTTGCCTTGATTTCTGTATGGTGACTGCCAGAACAGAGGAGCCCCGAATCCAACTTCCAGACTTCTGGCCCACAGAAAATTTGATAATAAGTTTAAGCTACTAAATTGTAGCAGGTCATTACTACACAAGGAAAAGTAATGTAATCAGTGATCTGATTATCTATGGAATTTTAAAACACTGAGCTGGATTGGAGACCGTGGTATATTTCCATTTCCATCTATTGAAAATTACTTCAGGTGCCAGCCCTGGGTTAATGCTACTATTGCCTGTAATGCCAGCATTCCATATGGGTACTGGTACAATTTCTAGCTGCTCCACTTCCCATCCAGGTTCCTGCTAGTATGCCTGGGAAAGCAATGGAAAATGGCATATGTCTTTGGGACCCTGCACCTACGTGGGAAGAAGCTCCTGGATCCTGTCTTTAGGCTGGCCCAGTCCCAGCCAATGCAGCCATTTGGGGAGTGAACAAGCAGACAGAAGATTTCTCTCTATGTCTCTGTCTCTTCCTCTCTCTATGTAACTCTGCCTTCAAATAAATCAATTAAATCTTTAAAGCAAAAAGAAAATTACTTCGGGAAACAATGTTGCGGTTTTAATGAAGATAGCAAAGCTTGCCATATTAGAGATTTTCATAAAATTTACTCCCTATAAGAGTATATGCTGTTAACAGGAAACAATTTTTATCCTGAAATTTTAAAGAGATTTTTAAAATATTAATTCTATGTATTTTGCTAGATAGTTTAATGGGAGATAAAAGCCTAAAGTAGTTTAAGATATGATTAAGAAGAGACAATTAACTCGAAATTTAGAAAGTGGTTCCATGCCTAATTATTAAATAATAATCATTCTTAATATTCATTACTGAGTACTCAGACTTAATATTCCCCATGCCAAATGTGTGAGTAGAGAAAACAAGCAATTACCTCTTAGTAGCAGTCAAGTGAAAGAATTCTGTCTATTGAGATTCAAGCAGAAGAGGGCCAGTGCCATCCCTCTGTTTATTCCTTTCTGGGATGTAGATTCCCTATTTGGGAATGTGGAAACCATTTTGCATCTGTTAGGAAAAGTCCAAGAAGTGTCATCAGTATTTTAAATGCCCACATTTACAATTACTTTTGATGGAGAAAAATAACCTACCTTTTCATGTTGACATTGGTTGGGTTTCCTATAGCTTAAGGCCAAAGTATTCATAACTGTCAAATCTTATAAGAATTTCAAAAGGCACCATACATTCATTTAGAGTGGGGCCCAAGAGATTCATAACATATGCACACTTTAAGTTGTCACAAATAGAAAGGCAATACAGAATGGGAACTCTTTAGACCCTTTTCCCATTCTCTCATCTCTTCATCTATGCATGCTAACCATTTAAGGCTCACTTGCTTTATTATATTTTCTAAACTTAAAAATGAATGTAATATATCACAGAGGAAAATCAGTTAATTTCACTACATAAGACATAACTCCTTCTACAACTTCTAACAATTAAAATGGGAAAAGCTTCCAGCTTGAAGCTATTAGAAAACATTTATTAAATTAGCTAGTTTATCTTATTTAATCAACTTTTTAACCTTTATTGTTTCCAAATAGAATTTGAGGTGGTTTACAGAAAAATGTACATTGCTACAACAGGTAATGATTAGTAACCTAGAGAGTTTATAACAATGGAATATATGATAGAACTAAAAATAGAATTAAAAGAAATATACTATAATATCCTACATAACAAAAAAGTGATAGTTTATAAGTTAAATTCTTTGTTTATTAAAGAGTAACACTGTCAGCCTCAATATCCACAGCCAATGAGTAAAATATATATCAATTATTCAAAAGCAGCACCATCTTAGAAAGCATACATTCATCAAAAGCAGCAGCCTACTCAATGGCTAGTTCTCTCAAAGCAAACTGAAAGAACAGTTCAGGGGTCAGCGCTGTGGTGTAGAGGTTAAGCTGCTGCCTGTAGTGTCGGCATTCCATATGGGTGCAGGTTCAAGTCCCAGCTGCTCCACTCCTGATCCAGCTCCCTGATAATGCAGCTGGGAAAGCAGCGGAAGATGGTCCAAGTACTTGGGCTCCTACCCCCACTTGGGAGACCTGGAAGGGGCTCCAAGCTCCTAGCTTTGGGCTCACCCAGCTCTGACTATTACGGCCATTTGGAGAGTGAAGCAGTAGATGAGAGACCTATCTCTCTGACTCCCCCTTTCTCTCTTTCTGTAACTCTGCCTTACAAATAAATAAATAAATCTTTAAAAAAAGAACAGTTCAACAGATACCTTTTGAATATAAAGATTCCATTATATTGAAAAATAAAATATTAAACCATAAAAGACTAATGTGAAAAATTAGAATATTTATTTTTTTTTTTTTTTTTGCCAGAGTGTCTTGGCTTTCCATGCCTGAAATACTCTCATGGGCTCTGCAGCCAGATCCAAATGCCTTAAGGGCTGATTCTGAGGCCAGAGTGCTATTTAGGACATCTGCCATTCTATGAGTCTGCTGTGTATCCCGCTTCCCATGTTGGAACTTTCTCTCCTTTTTAATTCTATCAGTTAGTATTAGCAGACACTAGTCTTGTTTATATGATCCCTTTGACACTTAATCCTATCATTATGATCAATTATGAACTGAAACTGATCAGACTAGTGAGATGGCATTGGTACATGCCACCTTGATGGGATTGAATTGGAATTTCCTGGCGAGTTTCTAACTCTACCGTTTGTGGCAAGTCTGATTGAGCATGTGCCAAACTGTACATCTCCTCTCTTATTCCCACTCTTATATTTAACATGGATCACTTTTCAGTTAAATTTAAACACCTAAGAATAATTGTGTGTTAATTAAAGAATTCAACAAATAATATTATGTAGAACAAAAAAATACTAAAAGGGATAAAGTATTAAGTTGTACATCAACAGTCAGGACAAGAGCTGATCAAGTCATTGTTTCTCATAGCGTCCATTTCATTTCAATAGGTTTCCTTTTTGGTGCTCGGTTAGTTGTCACCAATCAGGGAGAACATATGATACTTGTCCCTTTGGGACTGCCTTATTTCACTCAGCATGATGTTTTCCAGATTCCTCCACTTTGTTGCAAATGAGCAGATTTCATTTTTTTTTTACTGTTTTATAGTATTCTATAGAGTACATATTGCATAATTTCTTTATCCAGTCTACTGTTAATGGGCATTTAGGTTGATTCCAAGTCTTAGCTATTGTGAATTGAGCTGCAATAAACATTGAAGTGCAGACAGCTCTTTTATTTGTCAATTTAATTTCCTTTGGGTAAATTAAAAGGAGTGGGATGAAAGATCTCTGTGAGTGAGATCCCAGTGGAAAGAACGGGCCATCAAAGAAGGAAGTACCTTTCTCTGAAGGGAGGAGAGAACTTCCACTTTGACTATGACCTTGTCTAAATAAGATAGGAGTTGGCGAACTCAAAAGGCTTTCATAACCTTGGCAACTCATGAGAAGAGCCTAGGGTGACTACTGACATCATAAACAAGAGTGACAACAGGAATCACTGTCCACTTACTCCCCATGTAGGATCTCTGTCCTTAATCTGTTGTACTATGTGAATTAATGGTATAACTAGCACTCAAACAGTACTTTACACTTTGTGTTTCTGTGTGGGTGCAAACTGTTGAAATCTTTACTTAGGATAACTAAATTGATCTTCTGTATATAAAGACATTTGAAAATGAATCTTGGGCCGGCGCCACGACTCAACAGGCTAATCCTCCGCTTAGCGGCGCCGGCACACCGCGTTCTAGTCCCGGTTGGGGCACCGGATTCTGTCCCGGTTGCCCCTCTTCCAGGACAGCTCTCTGCTATGGCCTGGGAGTGCAGTGGAGTATGGCCCAAGTGCTTGGGCCCTGCACCCTATGGGAGACAAGGATAGCACCTGGCTCCTGCTTTCGGATCAGTGCAGTGCACCGGCTGCAGCGTGCCGGCTGACTGCGGCAGCTATTGTAGGGTGAATCAATGGCAAAGGAAGCTCTTTCTCTCTGTCTCTCTCACTGTCCACTCTGCCTGGTTTAAAAAAAAAGAAAAAAAAAAGAAAATGAATCTTGATGTGAATGGGATGGAAGAGGGAATGCGAGATGGGAAGGTTGTGGGTGGGAGGGAAGCTATGGGGGGGAAAGCCACTATAGTCCAAAAGCTGTACTTTGGAAATTTATATTTATTAAATTAAAGTTAAAAAAAGAATATTTACTTTTTACATTGAGAATAAATGATTTATATGCAGAAAAGTTTAGCCATACTAGTAAGCAAGAATTTATAAGTACATACAAAAAAACATGTTTTCACCATTACTACTGATTTTAATAATAATCACTTGTGTAGACTATGGCATGATTTAAAGAGATCCATCCACTGTCTAATCTGCCTGTTGCAGAGCAAGCCGCTCATTCTTTAGCTGGAAAAATCTGCCACTATATTTAGGAGACCTTATGGTGTTTTTTTTTTTTTTTTTTTTTTTTTTGACAGGCAGAGTGGACAGTGAGAGAGAGAGAGAGAGACAGAGAGAAAGGTCTTCCTTTGTCGTTGGTTCACCCTCCAATGGCCGCCGCGGCAGGTGCGCTGCAGCTGGCGCACCCCACTGATCCAATGGCAGGAGCCAGGTACTTATCCTGGTCTCCCATGGGTTCAGGGCCCAAGTACTTGGGCCATCCTCCACTGCATTTCCTGGCCACAGCAGAGAGCTGGCCTGGAAGAGGGGCAACTGGGACAGAATCCGGCGCCCTGACTGGGGCTAGAATCCAGTGTGCTGGTGCCACAAGGCGGAGGATTAGCCTAGTGAGCCGCGGCGCTAATGGTCTATGTTTTGATCCAACATTTCACTTGAGGAAACCTGTTTACATCAGTCTTATATATAATATTTTTGTCTCACCTTCCATTATTATCTTGTCTTTTGTTTCACTTCTGTACGAGTCTTAAAATCCCTTGAGAATTAGTCAAATATAGTCATTAACAAAGACATGGATTAGCACATGTAACTTCAAAACTACAAGTGTACTTGCTATCACTGTAGAAGTTCGTTTAATGTTAAACAGAAAAGATTCACTTCATCATTTTGCCTGAGATGAATGGAATCTATCATGGTAACTATGACAGAGCAATAGCAGAGTAGAAGAGAGATCAATTTCTATGTGGTGCTGGTGTTCTTTTCACAGGATAATGCAGGCAAGGGTATTACATGTAACTCAAAACAGGAGTTCATTTCACCCTCTCCTTTATTAAAACAAGCAAACAAATAAACAAAGGGAAAAATTCCTCAACTCTGGCTGCTCCACTCGGACCACAGGAAGCAATTTATTTTCACTGATTCACTATTTTCTTCTCAGTTCACTCTTATTGTCCCTTAAAATTGTTCTTTGCAGGGTTGGCAATAACTTTCTTTGCCAAATCATGGCCATTAAAGGATGACCTTCTGCCAGATTTCTTAGTAGTATTGGACATGATTGATTAATTTTCCTTGAAACATTTTCTTGTCTTGGCTTTTATGGGTAATACGCTTCTATTTTTTTCCCCTTTCTTAAGAGAACATTTGCTGTTTTCTGGTGAATAAATAAACACATGAACTTCAAACAGTCAAAGATGTTTCAGGAAGAGAGTGGCTTTGAACTTTTTGAAGCATAAATAGAACTTTTATAAGCAGTTGGAAGATAATCATAGTACCGAATTCCATTTGGAGTCACTTTTCCATATTTCAGAGCAAAGACTAAAGATGAGTAAGGAGTCAGTATTTACCTTTTGAACTCATGTTTAGGTTGAATTTTTAAAAATAAGCTATCAACAATATTTTGTTTAATTTCTGAGACTAAAAATGAACTGCTTCAAGATGTATATAGATACACCTCTAATATTCTTTAAAATCAGAGAAAAGCAAATATAAGTATACTTCAGCTGATCCTTATTATTTCCCTAAATGATACTAAAAATGGTTCAGAAATGATGTGTCAAGTAGTTAAAATAGTAATTATCACTTCATTTCCTTAAGAAATGAAAGCAGAAGATACCATATCCACATCTATAAATCGTTAGGGAGAGAGGC